ATTAAAAAAAAAAAAAAAAAGGACAAATGCTATATGATCTCACTTATATGAAATAAGCAAATATGCAGAAGCCAAAGATTATTATGGTTACTAGGGATGGGTGGAAGTGGGAAAGAGGAAGTTTTTTGCTTGAGGGGCATTGAGTTTATGTTGATGGTGGTGAAATGACTTGGAAAGGAGTAGGGAGAATGGTTGCATAACTTGAAGAAGGTAATCAATGTCACTGAAATGTACATGGAAAAGTTGTTGAGATGGTATATGTTTTGTTATATATATTTTTTTCACCACAAGTTTTATTAAAATACAAAAAACTCCGAAGCAACAACAAATTGTTCCTTTAGTAAAATAGCTTTCATAGAAAATTATCTTGTTTGATCTTTGTAGCAGTTCTGTGATGTAGGCAAGTCTGGCATTTTCATTTTTCAAATGAGGAAAAATCAGCCAATGGTCATACACGTTGCAAGAAGGACATGGTGGCAGCATCCTCCTCTGACTTCACAACGGAGAAAGAGAATCACCATCAGCAGCCCAAGGCTGATTTCTGTGAGGCCAGACATGCTGCCACCCTCCAAACTTTTAACCAACTTTAACACCAGCCATCCCTCCCACAGCACTCACTGCTTCTCTTCTGGGTTCGCTAATTTGTTGCAATGGCCACACAGAACTCACAGACAATATTTAGGATTATGGGGTTTATTAGGGAAGAAACAGATTACAATTCAGGTTCAGGAATGCACTCAGGATACAGTTCTTCAATCAGGACAGTCTCCCCTCAGTCATGCCTGCAGGCACACCTCTCTTTGGCCCTCAGCCTCTCGGCTTTGCCCTGCTCCTGCCAGTGTTATAAAGCTCTTTTAGCTCTGCCAATAGGGGCATCTAGGTACACCCCGCTGTGCCGTTGCCTCCTGCCCACAGGCACTCAGCTTTCTTATTTGTGGAGGCTGACAAACCCACTGCTCTGTCTTGTGGCTCTTGGTTCCACTGTTACCTCTCTGATGCAACATCATCTCTCTGATGACTCTGCCTGTGTCTCTGCCAAGGAAGTCTAGCACAAGAAACTCAGCTCCTAGGACATGTTCTGCACCACCTCCAGCTCTTTACTCTTGACGGCAGTGAGATCCCCCTTTCTACCTCTGTTGTTGCTGTTGTGTGCCGTCAAGTCAGACCTGACTCATAGCAACCCCTCTTTGGGTTTCCGAGGCAGTATCACTACAGAAGTAGATTGCCCAACCTTCCTTCCAAGGAGTGGCTGGCGGGTTTGAACCACCAGCCTTCTGGTTAGCAGTCAAATGCCTTAGGCACGAGACTTATTTTAAGCCTAGCAGAATGACCAAGCTAAGCATTCCCCTTATTAGGGTTCTATATACCTTATTTCCATGGTCCTGCCTCCACAACGGTGCCATGTACTTTAGCTATCCAACCCCCTTGGTGGACTACAAGCACCTCCCATTTACACAGTTCTACCCAGTAACCTGGTAGGACTCAAAAAGACCACGTCTAGAAGAGCCATATCAATTAATTCCCTGCACCACACCAAGTAATGGCAGATTCCCTGACAGAAAGGGCTCAGTAAAAGTAGGACTGACACACAACCTAAGCAGGAAATGTGGAAATTTGCCCCTATGAAGGCCAAAGAGAAGGGAATGGGGAAGAGGATGATGAACAGATTTATAATGTGTAAAAGAGCTACCTGATTCACCAAGATAATGAAGACGCCTGCAAGGCTAAATAGCTAGATACTTTCTCTATCTGTCCTAGATAGAGCTGACCCGTATCCTGGGTTCCTCTAATCAGTATTTCCCATTTTGGTCGTCAGATGTGAATGTTAATAGAAGCACATAGGAAACTTGTTACTAGGTTCTGATTCAGTAAATCTGGGCAGGATCCAGGAATTTGCATTTTAAGACATACCTCTCGTCTGGGAATCGGGTGCAGGAAGGTGAGGGACCACACTTTGGGAATGCTTATAGTTGTTATTGTGTGCCATCGAGTCAATTCCAACTCATAGTGACCCTATATAACAGAGTAGAGCTGCCCCACAGGGTTTCCTAGGCTGTAATCTTTATAGGAGCAAATCACCATGTCTTTTCTCCCACAGGATAATTGGTGGGTTTGAACGACTGACCTTTTAGTTAGCAGGTTAACAGCCAAGCACTTAACCGTTGCACCACCATGAACCCCTGGTTTTCACAAAATGCTATCTTGACACATCATCACCAGCAAAGAACTATTTGCTGTGAGAGTATTTCTTTCTAGCTTCTCTTTACATTTCTCTGCTTCCCTCACCCCTAATAGCCTGCTGAGGTATGATAGAAAAAATGCTAAGATTCAATTCCCAACTCTATTTACCCTCTTCGAGCCTCAGTTTTTTCTCATCTGTAAAATGGAATCATGTATCACTGGGCTGTAGTGAGGAATAATGAGATAAGGTATATCTTATGCATAATTCCTGACATTCAAAGGATATTCAATAAACATGAATTTATGGATCTTGTCTCCTGATTTCTTGTCTCTTAAAAAATACTAGTGACTCGAACAAAACAAAAATACTAGTGACTAAGGTGGCCTCTTTTGGATCCACACAGGTTTTTGAACATCAGGTTCTGAAGAGGACCAGGGAAGAACCAAAGTGATGTCTTCTCCCAGACTCGTTCCCCTGTGGAAGGATTTCAAATACCTCATAAATGACATTATAGATAAGAGCACGGTAAGTGTGTGCAGGACATAAACTTCAAGTATTGACCTCTAGCTGTCTCACACTTACAAGCACTTCAGAGGAGCCACAGATTTGGCATGAAAGCAGGAAGGAAGCAGGCTAAAGACGATGCTCACCTTGGTTGAAAATGGCCTATCAATTTCCAGATGGATTCAGAGACCTGTTGCAAGGACATTTTGATAGAAGAAGGATACCACTTGAGTATTGTCAGAGGATGCTTTGGAGCATTGTCAATCTCTCAACTCTGAGATCCAACGAAACAAAACAACCCACTGCCATTGAGTCAATTCTGATTCATAGTGACACCCATTGGGCTTCCAAGGTGGTAAATCTTTATGAAATAGATTGCCTTATCCTCCTTCTGCAGAGCAGCTGGGTGGGTTTGAACCAGCAACCTTCTGGTTAGCAGTCAAATGCTTTAGGCACTATGCCACCAGAGCTCCTTCTCAACTCTGAGAATCTCCTCTAAAAGAGAAGGGAGAAGGCACTAGAGGGAACATTTGCCAACTTCAGTTTTGCCATCGCTGGGTTTGTGTAAAAGGATCCCAGGTGTATGCATCATAGCATATACTCTGTCACTGTGGAATAATACATACTGTATATGTGTCAAATGTAAAGGCCAGATAGAGTGTCCTTCAAATCTTAGTGCAGTTTTAAAGCTTTAACTTAAAGCTGTACTAATTTTGGGACACCCTATTATATGTAGGTGATACATTCACCTGGGTCATCTGTTAAATACACTCCCTTTTATGATATATTTACCTTTTAGACACAAGAGTAAGGAGTCCTGGCATAGTGGTTAAAGCACCGAGCTGCCAACCAAAAGGTCAGCAGTCTGAACCCACCAGCTTTCACCCACAGGAGAAAGATACGACAGTCTGATTCCATAAAGATTTACAGCCTTGGAAACCCAATGGGGTAGTTCTACTCTTTCCTACAGGTCACTATGTGTCTGAATCAACTCAATAACAATGGTTTGGTGCTTTTTTGGTTTTTAGACATAAGGAAGAAAGCTAGAGGACAGGTGTAGCTAACTTTATGTTGGGATGAACATGGGTTTTCCTTTAGGCTCACATACAAGATTTGTCCATATAGGCCTTACCAAGGTTTGGTTCTGTTATATGTTGAGGGCTTTGTTACATGCTTGTGAGGTGTAGGTGTCCCACAGGTGGTGAGTTGTGCATGTGTGGGTATGACGGGAGTGAAGCATGTTTGGGGGGATTGTGACTTGTTTGAGAATATATTTAATAAGTGTGAACTTTTAGTTCATGCCATGTCTCTCCCCAGAGTCCTGTAGATGACTCAAAGAATGAAGTAGTTGTGCTGAGTGACCGTTCCCAGATATTATTCAAGGAGTCTCGTCATCCTCAAAATATGCCACTTATATGCTATTACCTCAGTGATGCCAATTTCTTTGCCTCTCTTTCTTGGGTGTCATCAAGCACGAAAGAAATACAGGTAACACTACCTAGCCTTTCCTACCTTTCTTAGCCCATTCTTTTTTTTTTTTTTTTTCTTTTTAATTTTGATTTGGGTGAAGATTTACAGAGTAAATTCACTTTTCATACAGCAGTTCACATATACTTTGTCTCATGTCATTGACCAAAATTTACAATGCAACAGCTCCCCTCCCACTTCCTCCCCATAGTTACCTCTTCCCAGTGTCCATACCTCCATACTCTTCTGTGCCCTGAGCTGTCTCCCTGTGCATAAGCAGCCCTTCCTTCTCCCATGATTGTTCTCTCCAGGGCGTGTGTCTACTTGAGGTAAATGTTTAACTCACGTGCCTGTACTTCGTTTTCTTAGCCCATTCTTTAGGGGCCATGCCCATGTAGCTGTTATCCTAGACTGACAAGGGAAAACAGACCCTTGGATTCATATCCTTGAACAAAAGTGACCTGGACCCAGGATTCCCTGCTTATCCTTTCTCCAATTACAGTTTTCACATTCAATAGAGTTTATGATCCACCTTAAGTAGACCAAGGTTAGAGAAAGAGGCCTAGATTTCCTACTTCTATAATATTTACAGCTCCCATCACTAGGGAACAAAAACCAATCTAGAATTTTCCATACGTGTTTAGCACAAGAACAGGAAAAGGTAGCTGAATATTCTGCCCTTTCCTCCTCAACTATCTTTTGTAGGCAGTTTCCATCTTACTGTCTTCTAGGCTGTAGTATGGATGAAGAGCAAAACTGAGGACATGGTTGAGAAGAGAATTTTCTCCATGACTGAACGATTGCCACCCATCCAGTCCATGGTCCATGCAGGTTCTTTTCACATCCTTGTTGCCTACTGTGGAGACCTGTGTTTGCGGCTCTTTGGAGACCACTTTCGGGCGTTCAAACCCCTGGGTATAGTGCCCTGCCGCTTCAACATCAGCTGCCTCTGCTATGATCCAGAAATGAAGATGCTTTTGTCAGGTGTCTTTGGAGCCATAGTCACCTGGATCATTGAGCGAAGTGGCAAGGGCCTCCAAATAGCCCACATACTTCCCATGCCTGGTGATGAGCTTGTCCAGGACATTATACTGAATGGCCCCGACGGCTCCCTCCTAGCCCTGTGTGAGACAGTGGTGAGGGTCCTCGAGCGTCAAGGCTTTGGCCAGCTGGGAGAGATAAATAGCTTTATTTCCACTGGCAGTGGCTCCTTCATAACCTGCTGCTTCACCTGTTTTGATCAAGGCCTTCTCTATGCTGGAAACAAGGCTGGGAAAGTCCAAGCATGGAACCTTAGCCGAGCCCGCTTCCTGCACAGCTTCAGGGCCCATTCCTCATCAGTGATATGTATTCGCAGCCGACCAGAGGCCCACACCCTGCTAACAGCTGGTGGTGAAGGCTTAATCAAGGAGTGGAACCTTACTTCAGGGAACCTACTGCGGCGGCTAGAACTTGGTGAAGAATTGCATCGGCTCCAATTTATTGATAACATTACATTCTTCTGCCAGACTACTCATAGTTTTTCCTTGCGCCGTCTGCCCTGCTTCTATAGCCTCTTCAATGTCTGTGGTTCAGCTCCCCTGCAGGTACGTCGAGTCCACTGTGGTGATAACTGGCACCGGATCCTGTGTACTACTGAGGACGGCTTGTTGCGCTTTGTGTCCCCACAAACAGGGGATCTCCTGGTTCTCACCTGGCCCTTCTCAATTCTGGACCGAGCTGTGGATTGGGCCTATGACCCAGATAGAGAGGAGCTCTTTGTGGCAACAGGCAGCTCAGAGGTGCTGGTATTTGATACAACTCGCTGCCCTTGCCCAGCCAAGTATCTATTATGCACCTCACCAAATTCTCAGGACTTGGTACAGTGTCTGGCTTATGGGCATTTCCACCTAGGTCGGGGTCTAGAGGGGTTAATGTTCTCTGGGCACCAGAGTGGTGTGATAAGAGTACTTTCCCAGCACAGCTGTTCCCGAATAGAGAAATTCATGCACTTTGGGGCTATATTGGCACTCTCTACGCTGTCAGGAGGGGTTTATGGTGGCCGAGAAAACTCTTTGCTCTGTTCTTATGGAATGGATGACTATGTACACCTATCAGAGGCTATACTTGAGGGGACTAAAGTACGTCTGCGACCTCTTGCCAGCATTCTTAGCAGCTGCCACCTAACACACCTGCTACTCTTGCCCAAGTCTGTGGGTGCCATCACAGAGACTAACTGCCTGCGTCTCTGGAAGTTCCATGATGTTCTGTCCTCTGAATCGCAGAAGAGCTCTACATTCATAGAGACATTGCCTCTGCACCAGTGTGCCATCACATCCTTTGATGTCTGCCTGTCCCTGAGTCTTTTTGTCACAGGTGGTATTGATGGTTCCGTTCGGATCTGGGATTTCCATGGTAGACTAGTAGCCATGCTGGACTCATCATTGCACTTTGGTCCACTCTGCTTTGCAAATGATCGGGGTGACCTGCTTGTTACTTTCAACCAGAGTCTTTATCTGGTGTCCTGTTTAAAACTGCTTCCTCCAAGCCTGTTGGTTCGCCTTTCCTTTATGAGCCTAACAGATGAAATTGTAGAAGTCCCTAAACCTTTCATACCAGGCTTCTTCTTCTCCTTTGAGACCATGTTTGTGCCAAAGTATGTCTACCTTGGACAAGGGCAACAGGAATTAGTGGGTCTGGAGACCCTTGTCAATAGGCGGGCCATTGCCTTTGACCATACTGTGCCACATGTTATAGAAGATGAAGAGGAAGGGGGCCCCATATTGCTATCTACCCGCAAACAAGATTCTTTGCAGAAAGGGGAAACTAATTTGGTGCAGGTGAGCGAACAAGGTCACCATTCCCATTATGTGATTCCTCCCCAACTACAGCTGACAGGCTGGGATGGACTCAACCCCTATCAGATATTGCAATACTACTTTGGTCATGGGCGGGAATGGCCCTTTGCCCCTGATGGCTACATCCCCAATTCAGTGATTCGTGCCCGTCTTTGGCCAGAGGGAAGCCCAATATACCTACAGTGTAGCCTGCATCCACCCCAGCGGGAATTGGAATGGGACAAGACTCAACAATTCTTTTTCTGGCACAGTAGGGCAAGAGCTGAAAGTGATGTAGCTGATCTTCCAAAAGAGAAGGAGGACGAAGACTTCATAGGAATGAGAATGTCCAAGGATGTAACTTACAGTGTCTTTACAGACACAATAAACCGTAGTTGGCTGGGAAGAAAGATGAGTGAAATAACTATTAATAGTCTTATTGAGACAATCCTCAGTATTATGATCCATGCTTCTCCATTGAAGTTCCAATACTGTGTTGGTGCACTAGGGCAAATCTTTGCCTCTTACCAAGTGTCTCCATCCCTGCGCTCTGAGACAGCACATCGCCTTCTGGATGATACAGCCAATTCCAACCCACAGATCCGAGAACTAGCCTGGGAAGGGCTGAAACGTCTAGGAATGATTACTCATCTCTTTGCCATACCTCTAGCCCAAGGATTGATGGACAAGGACCCAAGGGTGAGAAATAAGGCCTTGAGCCTCATGGCTGATACTGGAATCCCCTCTAAGTCTTCACTCTTATGCTTGATCCAGAACCGAGAAACTTTCCGTGAGATTCAGTAAGTTGTTCCTTCCTCAATTCTATACCAGCTTCTAATTCTCTTCTCCCTTTACTCATTTTTTCCTTGTCCCTTCCCTCCCTGTCTCTCCATCCTTGTTTATTAACTCTTCCTGCTCTTTCATAGCTTTTTTCCTGTTCCTAGACTATCCTGACAATTCCCTTGACTGCTCACTTCATCCTCCATTTCCTCTCCTATACCTGTGTGCCCCTTCCCTCTTCAAATTCCTCTTTTTATCCCTTTATACCACCCTTGTAGCCCACATACAAATTACTCATTCCTTGCCATCTTGGCTTCCTAGACTTTCTCTTGACCATTCTTTACTTCTACATTTCCTATCCCTTCTGACCACTTTACCAAGCCTCTTCCTTATTCCACAGCAGTTCTTTCCTTCTCATGCTCCCTCTTGTCCCTGATTCAGCATGATATTTTCTCTCCTTTGACTTTTATAGGCAGGAAATGATTGGAGAGGAAACCCTGGATCATCTGCTGGGAATGCGGGCAACAGATCTCCAAATCCTTCATGCTCAAGTGGAACAGCGACTGAATGAAGACTTGACTTTGTCAGCTGAAGATAAAAAGCCTTCTTTTTCTTTATATGTTTCAAAGGTTTCTGAACTTAAGCCTCATGAAAGGCAACCTTCCATAGTTCCTGAAGAACCTGAAGTGGCCACCAAGCCCAGCAAAGGCCAAAGAAGGGGCCGACCAGGGGGCAAAAGGCATAGTATGTATGAGGTGACCCTGGTCTATACTTCAGGGGCCCAAAGAGGCAGGATAGTTAGGGCTCAGGTGGATCAAAAGATACTAGGTGAAAACAGAGATAAATGGAAAGATCGTTTCATAGGTTGGAACTCTTGTAGAAAGGATCTGTCCCATACCCAAGTAAACTATAATGCCTATCACTCTAGGACTTGGTAGGGCTGGGAATAAAGCAAGGAGAATGCCCCACCCCTCCCTTTCTAAGGCCTCACCCCTTTGTTGCTACTTCTTTTGGCAGTTCCTGTTAGCCTACACTATATATTAGGGAATGTTTCATTTAAACTTTCCAGCCTTTCTTTAATTCCATCTTCTGATTTTCCTGGCAGCCCGAAAATTGTTGCGGAGTCTCAAGAAGATAAAAGAGGGAGACTCAAAACAGATTAGCACAGAGCCAGGTCTGTTAGAGGGTGAAAGTGATCAGAGTGAAGCAGCACCAATTGAGGTGGAGGATACAGCCATTGATTCCAGAGGGTCTTCACCCCTAAGTATGATAAAGAGTTCAAAAGAGACTGTACACCCTGTAGAGAAAGAGTCTTCAAAGGATCATGTTATGTTGACCCTGAAGATGCTGAGGAAAATACGTGACAAAAAGGGCAAGAAAATTACCGATCAGAAACCCATTAAGAGGCACAAGAAGAAGAGAAAAGAAGCTGAAGTAATTGAAGAACCTCAGCCTCCTGTACAGGTGGAACCAAATGTGAGGAAGATTAAGACCAGTGGGAGGGGTGCCTCTGGAGCACCTGGCCACAAGGCTGGCATTGGAGATGGTTCATCATGGCGGGATGATCTATGTCGTCTCATGACCCTAAGGATATCTGGTTCCCAAACAAAAATGTCAGAAGCTGTAAGCACTGAGGTAGTAACCATGGCTCAGGAGATGCTGGCCGATAGACACCCCAGCTGGGACCTCTTCCAGAAGATCTGCCCCCTATTGAAGAAGAAAAGCCAGGACCTGCTTGAGGACCTTGAATGGGATGTTGCCTGGCCAGAGGAGAAACCAATTTTTATCCATGAAGAAGCAATTAGAGAGGACATGATAATCAGAGATGAGGAAGAAGGAATACCAGAGAGTCAAGAGCAAGTGCAAGAGAAAGCAGAGGATATGCAAGAGGTGGAGCAAACTCGGTTGATAACAAAAAAAGGCAAGAAAAAGAAAGTTATTTTTTTAGAATCAGCTGACTTAATGAAGGGAAAACGAAAATCAAGGAAAGAAGAGAAGAAATTCCCTAAGAAGTTATCTAAGCAAGAGAGGAAAACAGCCCAGCAGGAAATAAAAGTGGATAAAAAAGAGAGGGAAGTGACCAAAGAAGAGAGAGATGTGAGTGAGGAAGTCAGAGAAATGGTAGAAGTAGAGGGGAAAGTGATTGAACAAGAAGCAAGACCAGTTACAGTTGACAGGAAGCTGATTTGGCAGGAGTGGAGAAAATCCTGGGATCAATGGAAACAGATCCAAGATGAGACAGAGAGATCCTGGGTTGAATGGAAGCACGATTGGGACAGGTGGTGTCATGAACATGGGATTGAAGTGGAACTTTTTGCAGATGAAGAAAAGCTGGATGGGGATGAGAGGAAGCTGAGATGGGATGAATGGAGACAGGTCTTGGAGGAGATTTTGCTTGTCAGGCCCAAGGAGCAACTTTCTGAGGATGAGGAAGAATTGGGCATGGAAGAAGAATTACCTCAGGAGTGGGAAGAAGAAGAGTTAGTTACAGAAGAGCAGAGAAATCTCCAAGAAGAAGAGAAACGGGCCTGGGTAGAGAGGAAACAAGCCCAAGCTGAAAGAAAACGAGCCAGAGAAGAGAAGAAACTGGCACAACAAGAAGAAAAACTAGCACAAGAAGAGAGAAAACTGGCCCAAGAAGAAAAAAAACTGGCCCAAGAATATGGGAAAATGGCCAAGGGTAAGGGGAAAATGGCTCGAGCAGAGAGGAAACTTGCCCAGAAAGAGGAAAAACTGGCACAAAAAGAGGAGAATATGAGCCAGGAAGCAGAGAAATTGGCTCAGAAAAGGAAGAAAGTGGCCAAGAAATTGGAGGCATTGGCCCAAGAAGAAGAGAAACTAGCAAAGAAAGTGGGGAAACTGGCTGAGGTAAAAAGAAAACTGGTTCAGGAAATGGAAAAACTGGCCCAAAGGGAGGAAAATCTGACAGAGAAGGAAAATGAGCTGGCCCAGGAATTGGAGAAACTGGCTCAGGAAGAGGATGAACTGACTTGGAAAGAAGAACAACTGAATCAAGAAGAAAAGAAACTGGCTGAGGAAAAGGAGGAACAGATTCAGGAAGAGAAGAGATTGATCTGGCAAGAAGGGGAACTGGATGAGGAAGAGCAAAAACTGGTTGAAGAAGAAGAGCTGCTGATCCAGGAAGAGACAAATCTGGCCCAGGAAAAAAATATACCTGAGGCACAGAAAAGACTGTTCCAGAAAAGGGAGCAGTTGACCAAGAACAAGGAAAAATTGTTTCAGGAAAGGGAAAAATTGTTCCAGGATCAGGAGAAACTCATACAGAACAAGAAGATACTAGCACAGAAGGAGACAAATCTGGCTGAGGAAAAGGAGAATTTGTCTGAGGAGAAGAAAATCTTGGCTCATAGAAAAGAGACCCTCCTCCAGAACAAAGAAACCATCATCCAGAACAGTGAGAAATTAGTCCACATAAAGAAGAATCTGGATAACCTTAAGGAGAAACTGTTTCAGGTAGAGGAGAAGCTGATACAGGAAAAGGAGATACTTACCCAGAAGAAGAAGAAATTAATGTACATAGAGGAGAAACTGGCCCAAGCAGGGGAAAGTCTGGCTGAAAAACAGGAGAAACTGGCCCAGGAAAAAATTGAACTAACCATGGATAAGAGGGCAGTGTTTCAAGAAAAGAAACCACTCAAAAATGAGTGGGATATTGCTAAAGAAAAAAAAGCATTGAACATGGAAATGATTAAATTGGCCGAAGAGAAGAGACTGGCTGAGGAAAAGGAAAATCTTTTCAGAGAGGAGACTCAAGGCACCCCCACACAGAGACAACTGGCTGAAGGTGAACTAGAAATAATTAGGAAGAAATTGTCCCTAGAGGAGAAGATACTGGCATATGAAGATAGGATATTGGCCACAGAGGACAAGAATATTGCCCACAGAAAATTGGAATATGCTAGAGCGGACAGAGTATATGCCCAAGAAGAAAGGAAGTTAGTCAGAGCAGTAATGAGATTGGCTAAGGATATAAGGAAAATTTCCAAGGAACCATCAAAAGAATACAAAATCTTAAAGGTACTTCAAAAACTAATCAAAGAAGAAAGGGAACTAACCCAGGAAGAAATAGCAATGACAAAGGTAAAAAGGTCACTCTTTGTTAAGGAGAGGAACCTAAGCAAGCACCAGAAAAAACTTGATAGCAAAGAGTGGGATTTTTCTGAAAAACAAGTAGAAATGACCAAAGATGAGAAAAAACTGGCTCAGAAGCAGAGAAAACTAGCCAAGGAACTGAGACGATTGGCAAAGAAAGAGGAAAAAGTGGTTGAGAAAGAAAGCAAATTGGCCAGGGAAGAGAGAGAAGTCATACAGCAAGAGGAGGGAGCAGTAGAGGAAGAAAAAGTGGTCCCATTCCCTAAAGCAAGGTGGAGAAAGAGAAAACAGCTAAAGAAAGTTAAAGATAGACGAAAGGAAGAGTATCCCATTCAAGTGGATGAGGTGGAAAGTGAAGAGAAATTTTGTGAAGAAATGGAAAGTCTGTTAGATGAAATAGAGCATGAGAGTTTGTCTGAAGAGGAGGTAGAGGAGAAGAGCAAAAGCGAAGAGGAGGAGGAGGAGGAAGAGGAGGAGATGGAAGAGGAGGAGGAGGAGGAGAAAGTAAAGGAAGAAGAGGAGGGAGGAGAGGAGGAGAAGGAAGAAGAGCAGGAGGAGGAAAGCATGAGTGAAGAGGAAGAGGAAAGTTTGAGTGAGGAGGAAGTGGAAAGTTTGAGTGAGGAGGAGGTGGAAAGTTTGAGTGAGGAGGAGGTGGAAAGTTTGAGTGAGGAGGAGGTGGAAAGTTTGAGTGAGGAGGAGGAGGAGGAGGAAGAGGAAGAGGAGATAAGCATATCTGCAGAAGAAGGGGTCAAGGGAAAAGAGATCTTAAAAAAAGAAGAGGAACTATTTAAGTTACAAGAAGAAAGAAGAGAAGACCTAAGAGTAAGGGAAACAGTTCCTTTTGTAGGAAAAGGAGTCTCTGAGGTCAAAGGCAGTGGTATCAAACTGGGAGTCCTAAAAAAAAGCCCCTCCAAGAAAATGATCTCAATAGCTCTGGGGAGGGAAGAGATGAGGCCAATGCCAGTGGTGATGAAACAAATATCCTGGGAAGACGAGAAGGCCACAGTACTTGAGATGCCCAGGATAGTCTCAGAGAAAAAGTTTTGGGATAAACAAAAAGAACTGTTGGAGAAATTTAAGCCCTTATCTCTACAAGTTTTTGATACAGTTTTGGAGTCCCAGGAGCAGGACATAAAGACCCCAGTCATGTCCCGCATAGTTGGGAAAACCATGGAAGCTCAGAAACTCCAATATAAACCACCAGATGTCAGTTGGAAGTGGGTTTTGGAACGTCATAAATCTCCAAAGAGGTGGACTGATGTACATTTACCTGTCCCCCAAATGCTAACTGAAAAACAATATTCAGAGGTAAGTCTCTCAGATGTAGAGTGGATCCACCATGTTCTAGAACAGATGGAAGCAGGAGAGCAACTTTCCAGGGAGAGTTTCCACAGACTGTGCCAGCTTCTCAAAGATCTCACCTCAAAGGGAAACTTAGAGTGGCTGCATCTAGCTAAACTTCAAACCATCGTGCAGCATCATGTACAGGCCCTGGAATCACGAGGCACAGGTACCCCAAAACCAAGTAAGGATATTATAGGTCCAAAACACCTGAAAGTGATCCCTCCTATAAAAGGAGAGGAAAAGAAGCACTGGCTAAAACCTTTGCCTTTTCCCACACCAAAGTCTCCATTAGCTACCAACAGGATTCCAGATGCAAAGACTGTAGATGTAGATATTTTAGGAGAGGCCTATAGAAGGGGGAAGGCACAGCAGATATCCAGTGCTGTCAGGGAGATGGAGATGCAACATTTGTATCCTACCACAAGAGACATTTTCACAGGTGCTCATGCACAAACCCAACCACTGATACTTCAAAAGGATCTCTGGACTTTAAAGGGTAAAAGCAGGTTTCTCAAATTGCCTAAGTTGGAGAAGAAGGCACAGCCCATCACTAAAAAAAGGGAAGCGGTGCCTAAATGGGAGACATTTGTGGCAGTGTACCATGTTTTGCGGATGTTGCAGCAGCAATGTGCAAAAGACAGCATTGCTTGGATGGAACATTTCTACCAGCTCATGGACCTGTACCAACTTAAGTCCCCCCGTATCCAGAAGCTATTACAGGATCTACTACTGAGAGAGGAGCCCCAACCTCAAGCAGTCATCTACAAAGAGGCCCTAAAGGCTGTGGAACTAGTTCCTGGGGAGCGGTTGTTCTACTGCTTTTGCTGTGGTGGTTCTCACACTCCTGGAGATCCTCTTAAGTTCCAGGAGGTGGTGTCACTCCCAGGGCAGAACAATGTACGCACCATCCTTCCCATGGGCATCGCCCAGTATGGGCTCTTGGAGCTTGCCTGGAAGAGCCTACCACAAGCTGAGAGTCACCTTAGCAAAAAATTGCCTCACATTCTCGCTCCTATCCTCTAATTTTGGACTTACTGGATGTCATGTCTTTTCATTCCCAGTTGGAGAAAGGCCTGGTCACCAGAATCTAAATCTTCATCCACATAGCACTAGGGCCAGGCCAAGGATCTTAGCCCTCCCAGCATTTGAAACCACCTTCTATATGTGGAATAAAGAGAAGGCTCTCATTTGAAACAAAACTTTGGTGTATCTCTTGTCCTCAGACTTTGGTTCCCCAGGGAAACCGGATAGTCATTCTCCTGAGAGAGAAAACTTTCCAAAAGCTAATGGTGCTCACCCTATGAAGTTTTTGAGGCAGAAAAGTGTTTTCTTGTTCCTTTCCTTTCCTCTCACCATCCTCCCTCAAAGGCTATGAGAAGGAAAGCACCTGGCAGAAAAACCAATGTATATTTGTCATTAACATAAGAAGTAGTGATAAAGTGGAAAGAGAGTGGATTGTAGAATCAGAAGACCCAGCATTTTGACCATTAGTATATGGGGCCATACGGCAGGGGCTGTGAGGCTGACTTTATTTCCCTGATCATAACTCTGCATGCTGATGAGTGCCAAAAAGCAGGTATTATGGGCATTGGAGAGGCTTTCAGAGCAAAGGAAAAGTTTCAACCAGTTTTAGCCAGCACCACCTGGTGACTTTATCACTGGATGGCAGTAAGGGGTGAGGCCATTTGAAGTTAAAGCCTATGTCTTTCACTTCCTTCACCACCACCTGGATATACGGTTTAGGGAGTGTGAAGGGATGAGAATTTGGGAGCCGAGGTATAGGCTCAAATAAGTCCCTCAGTTTTCTAGGGACTTGTAATCCTTCCCTCTAGTCATTAACAATCATCCTACTTCTTCCTTGATCTTCTCTCCCCACTATGGAGACTTCAGAACAACTACTTTCCAACAGTTTCTAGAAAGTATCCCATCTATGCCATTTACCACCCTACCCCACATTTCCCTTGTTATTCTTCCCCCTTCCCCCACATTTGCTTTTGGGGAGAAACAGGTGGTAGAGGGCAAGAAAATAATCTGGGCAGTTGGATGCACCTTGGAGACCAAGAGCAGTAAATGTCTTGGCTCTGCAGTTGGGCTTTTCCATGTCAGGTCACACAGAGCAAGTGAGAGTTGTGGGCTGTGGACAGGGGACCTCAAAAAGAGTGTTTGGTCTGGGCAGGGACAGGTAGCAGAAATAAGGGTAGCCCAGCTGGGTCTGCAGCCTTGACCTGAATCCTTCCTCCTTTTTGACCTCTGTTTACTTGTCTATATTCAACAGGGGATAATACACAAACTACAAATATCAGGGGTGAAAGAGGGAACATCACTACAGATACTGTGGACATTAGAAGGATAATGTTGCAATTACTAAGAACAGGTTTATGGCCATACATTTGAAAACACAGATGAAATGGAGGAATCCACAAAGGGAATAGCAATGTCTATCTTAATTATTGAGTGGTCTAGTGGGCCTTGTGGTTAAGTGGGGTTTTATGGGTTTTCTGGTCAAAACAAAACAAAAACAAAACCAGTGGATTGTCTAACTGTTGTGGTTCCAGAGCCAGGACATCTATGGATGGCTCTTCTGGGGGCCTCGAATACTAGGCACAGGCTATGACAACATAAGTATCAGTCTGTCTTTTCAGAATGACAAAGAACAGGTAGTTGTTTGTATTTTAACTTTGCTATGAAAAATTTCAATCACAAAAGTGAAAGTATAATGTACCTCAGATTCCCATCACCTAGATTTTAATTGTTAATATTTTGCCAAAATTGCTTCATCTATTTTTTCTTTGTTGAAGTATCTTAAAATAAATCCCAGAACCATGATATTCCAACTCTAAATATTTCTATATTAATCTTTAAAAATCAGAACATTTTCTTGCATAATTATTTTCACATCTGACAAAACTAATAATTCTATAATATCCAATACTCAGTCTCTGCAAATTTCCCTGGTTGTCTCCCAAAATGCCTTTTTTACACTTAGTTTGTTGTAATCAAAATTCAAACAAGGTCTACACATTGAATATGATTGTTATGCTTCCTACATTACACCCCTCCTCACCCCACTTTTTTCACACCATTGATTTGTTGAAGACACTGGGTCAATTGTCTTGTAGTTGTTCAGAATTTTTATGGTAGAGCAAGGTTTCTTAACCTGATGTCTGTATACACTTCAGTAGTCTAAGAAGCTCCTGAAATTAGATGAAGATTTTTGTTGGTTTATGCATAGGTTTTTTTTCTTTGTTTATTTTGCCCTGTGAGAATTAAGTCTAGTTTTCATCAGATTCTCAAAGGCAGTCCTTGGCACAAAGTTAATGACTACTTAAGGGAAGAACAAAAAAAAAGACACCTGGACTTTTAGTTCAGATATTGCTGATAATCACTTAAGTGATTTCAGCAAGTACCTTGCTCTCACTGGGCCTTAGTTCTCTAATTTTTGAAGAAACTTCAGACCTCTCCAGCATATTAGGTTTCCATCTACCCTTTCCTTCTCACAGCATGTGTGCTCGGGGTAGTGTGAGAGACTATTCCTGCTCTGCACACCCACCAGCTGCTCTGAACTAGAAATAGGGAATAAGGAGTTGACATTGGATAAGACTTTGAAGGAAAAATATTCCCTGGAAGAATATTACATGCTCAAACTAATGTGAGTGAATGAAGGTAAGTTCCCCTGAAGTCTTCTTAAAACCAAACAATAGTTTAACTAGCAAAGAATATCTGCCCTAAATGTTGTACTCTTTTAAGATCAATCTATATGGGATCAAACTGACAACTAGTCTTAGATAAGAAACTTAGGGGGCAGTGAGTTTATGTTAATGAAGGAGGAACAACTCGGAAAAGGAGGGTGAGAGCGGCTGCACGACTTGAAGACCGTCATCCGTGTCACTGAGTTGTACTCATAGAAACTGCTGAATTGGTGTATATTTTGCTGTGTATATTCTCAACAACAAAAAGCAAATTATTTTAAAAAGGGGGGAAGTGATAAACTGATTGGTAGATCAAGTAAGATAAAGACGTAAGAATTGGTCATTGGATTTGACAAATACATTTTACAAAATGGGCTGAAAGAATAGACTCAGTGGAGTTTTTTTTTTTTTTTTTTTTTCCCATGTACTTTCATTTGCAAGTAATTCCAAATTTACCAAAAAATAAAATAATAATAAAAGACTGTACACTTTTTATTCAGATTCACCTGTTGTTAAAATTTTACTCCATTTGTGTTGTCATTTTTTGTCTCTTTCCCTATCTGCATACCTCAAAAAAGAAAACCAAACTCCCTGCCATCAAGTTGATTCTGACTCATAGAGACCCCCTTTGGATTTCTGAGGCAGTAAATCTTTACTGAAGTAGATTGCCCAATATAACTTCCACAGAGTGGCTGGTGGGTTTGAACCATCAACTTTCTGCTTAACAGTCAAATGACTTACGTACTAAGCCACCAGAGCTCCTTATCTACATACCTACACCATATATTTTTTTGGACCATTTGAGGGTAAGCTACAGTGTATATTTATTTCCTAAGAATAGAGATACTATCATACATAACCACTGTATGGTTATCAACTTCATAAATTTACATTGGTACCATACCTTACTCTATATACTCTGTATTCCAGTTTTGTTGATTAACCTAATAATGGCCTTTTACAACATTCTTTCACTTCCATTATAGTAGCCAGTGTAGAGTCAGGTTTTGCATTTAGTTGTCATATCTCTTTAGTCTCCTTTAATCTGGAACATACCAGTAGCCTTTATTTGACTTTAATAACATTGCCATTTTGGGAGAACATAGTCTCCTCCCCTCCACTTATTTATTAGAAGGTTTCTCCTTATTTTTTACTCTTTAAAAAAATTTTGGAGTTCCGGTTAAGATGGCAGAATAGGCAGAAAGACTGCACAGACCCTCTTCAACAAAGAAAAGGGGAACCAATTAACACAGATATGGAAGATAATCCTGGACCCCTGAGCTTTGAAGGGAAGGATATAGAAGTGGACTAAACTCCAACTAGCAGAAGAATTTGCATGAAAACACCAAAAAAGAGACATACGGAGCTGTGGTCTGGCAGCAATCCTGATGGCACAGACAGCTTAGATATTGCTGAGTGGTGGTAGGACCTAAAAATTAACCTAAAACTCAGCCCTGCTAGCCAGGGACTGCATGGAGACTGCTCTGGTGGCTGGGAAATAAAAGGGGAAGCAGCAAAGAGGAAGGCAGGCTGAGCTGTGGACTTTTGCCTGTCTGGAGGGTGCAGCTATTTTGAATTTTTTTTTTTTT